CTTGGATTTGGCAAGGGCGCTTTTGAGGGACTCGACCTCGGTTGTGCCAACTGCGAGTATATTCATAACATTCGTAGTCAGTTTCAAACCAACTACACATGAATACAATTTCTGGATATACTGAAATACCGCATACCTTGGGTTTCGTCGAACCGCTTATTGGTACGGTCGAGTTCCTCAGGGGATAGCTGGAGCTTCCGACTGAGCTCGGCAATTTCCACGGCCTGGGCAGTAGCCGCCAGCTTCGAAGCCTGTCAAATAAAACAAACAATGCATGATATACCTGTTAATGATCCTCCTTCGGATTGTTCTAATCCGGACAGAGTCTCAGGGGCTACTGTCTACACATGGGCATCGCCACACACACATATATACAGGATACTCATGAAGAATATTAAGCTGCTTACCTCGAAGCCTGTCAGTAGGCTGTGGAAGGTTTCGGTCAGTTCGCTTTTCGCGGACTGAACCTTCTCCATAGCCGCACCCATAAGGGTGCGGTGTTCCTCTACAATGGAGGCATGTTCCAGTGCCTCCCGCATACTGTCAGCGGCCTCCGGATTGACAGAGGTCGCCGATGGAGCTCTTGCTCCTCCGCCCTCCTTCGAAGGGGGATGTTGATCCGAACCTGATACCGTACTGGTCTTTGGGACGGTATTCGGCGAGGAACCGGATTGCTAAAGTCCTCCACCCTCGATGGTTGTGGGGATCGCCATGCCCCTCTCTACAATGCCCGAGGTGTTGTCCTCGGGCGCCTTCTGGACTATCTCGTCCGCCCCTCCCTGGCCAGGAGATGGCCTTTGGGATGACACCTCGGTGTCCTCCATGGCAGGGGGAGAGAGGGCACGAGATGGGTCATCACTCTCCGCCTCCCTAGGGGCTAAAGAGTTCCCCGTTGAAGAAGAGGGGATCAGGATCTCGCGCGGAGGGCTAAGAAGTATAAAGGAGGTTGATCATGACAAAGTCTCAAAAGATAATTGAACGAGTGAGTTTCTAATACTTACGTCTCGGCCAGGGGCTTCTCCCTTTGGACCCGCCCCGGACTATGTTCGGACTCTGTGTCTGAACTGTCCGAGAGGACCACTCGCTCTTTCTTCGGCGTCGGCCCCTCCAGGTTCTCGGGGGCCATCCTTTTCCCCCTCCTCATCTTGAGGGGGAGTCGCTCTCCACCTCCTCCTCATCCTCCTCCTCTTATTCGTCCTCATCTTCCTCGCGAGAGGAGACGTGCTCGGCCTCTCCGGACACTGTTGCCGGAGGGCCCTTGCAGCGGGGCCCGTCCTTGGCCCCCTTGCTCTTTTTCTTGGCCTTCTTCTCCGGTGGCTGATAAGGTGTCGAAACCAGCATCTTCTCCAGCTGAGGAGTGACTGGGTTTTCAGGCAGTGTAGCCGGACATTTGATCCGCTCCGACTTCTTGGTCCAACCCTGCAACAAAAGACGGGTTGATGAGTTTGGCATAGACCGAATACATGTATATATACATATGACTAGATATGTCTTCGGAGATATCGAATACTTACTAGAGAGGCCAGATACGCGACGTTGATGCCGATGTCTTCGGTCTCCATGGGCCAGCTGCTCTTCTGCGCCTTAAAAAGCAACTTCCACATCCCCTCGTGCGTAGCACCGAAGAGGTGTTGTAGCGTCCGTGGATCCTCCGGCTTGAATTCCCACATGGGGGAAGCCCGACGCTGGCAGGGGAGAATGCGGAGAAAAAGCATGATCTGAACCACGTTGGTTAGACCAACGTTCTTTCCCAGCATGTTGGTGATGCGCGTCTGCAGCGCCAGCACCTCCGTCTGGGACCCCTAGTCGATGCCCTTCTCGTTCCAGGAGGTGAGCCTAGCTCATGGGGGGTCCGGATCTGAACTCCAGAATGGCCGCCCAGTTTGGGTGGCGTGGCTCGGTGATGTAGAACCACTCCTGTTGCCAGATCTTCACGGTCTCCATGAAGGCCCCCTTTGGCCAAGTGGTGTTCGGCAGCTTGCTAATCATAGCTCCGCTGCTGTCCGCGTGTTGCCCGTCGACTCCTTCGGCTTCATGTTGAAGACCTTGAGCCATAAACCGAAGTGTGGACGGACGCGGAGGAGAGCCTCGCACACGACTATGAACGCCGATATGTGGAGAAATGAGTTTGGGGCTAGATCGTGGAAATCTATCCCATAGTAGTACATAAGTCCGCGGATGAACGGATGGAGTGGGAAACCTAACCCTTTAAGGAAACGGGGAAGGAATACGACCCGTTCGCCGGGCTCCGGAGTGGGAAGGACTTGACTTTCAAAGGGAAGCCGGTGCTTGATATCAACGACGAGGTACCCCGCACTCCAGAGATCTGCTATGTTCTCCTCCGTCACGGAGGAGGCCTCCCACTTGCCTTTGGAGCCATCTTCGGCCATGGTGGGAGTAGGTGGTGGTGGTGGTGAGAAAGACGGAGACTTTGCGAGCGCAGAGAGCTTGAGAGATTGGAAGGCTGAGGAGATGTGAAGGCATGGGGAGGAAAGTGGGGGTCCCTTGCCCTCTTATAGGCAGTAAAAATACCAACCCCCCCTCGCTCGTGCCTTGAATCTCGCATGTTCCCGATGAAGGCGTGCGCCACAAATGGTTGGATTACCCAAACATCATTGATATGCAATCTCATATTAAGTGGGCATGACATCTGTTTTGACAGGACGTGCCAATGAGGCGTGGCCTTGAAACATGGAACGCGAGGCGTGAAAACGGTTCAAAATGACGAAGGGTCAAGTCTGGCGCTTCGTTGAAAGAGTTGTCCATAAAAGACGCTATGCTTATTCTTTATATATATCCTGCCTTCGTGGCTAAGGGTTGTGTTTATTGTGAAAAGCCGGATACAATTCTTTTATAGAGGAAAGCCAATCTGTATCCCGCCTTGCAATGCCGAAGACAATTTGAGCGCTGAATATATCATCATTGAAGACAAGTTCAGGGGCTACTGTGGGAGTCCTGGACTAGGGGGTCCTCTGGCGTCCGGTCTATTGACGTGGGCCGAACTGATGGGCCGTCAAGATACAAGACAGAAGATTATCTCTCATGTCCGGTGGGGACTCTCACGTGCGTGGATGGCAAGTATAGGTTTCCGGATATTTTATTCCTTTCTGTAAAACTGACTTTGTACAACCCTAAGCCCCTCCGGTTTCTATATAAACCGGAGGGTTAGATCGGAGGCAGGATCACAATAACATTGCTAGGCTAGCTATCTAGGGTTAGCCGAATCGATCTCGTGGTAGATTAACTCTTGTAACCCCTATACCCTCGAATATAATCAAGCAGGAGTAGGGTTTTACCTCCATTAAGAGGCCCCGAACCTGGGTAAACACTGTGCCCCTTCTCCATTGTTACTATTGATTCTTAGACGCACAACTTGGGCCCCCTACCGGAGACCTGCCGGTTTTGACACCGACAATTGGGAGTCTAAGACAAAATAAATAAGAGTTAACTTAGTACCTTTGGTAAGCAAGCCAACTGCCCATTGCAAGATAAATCTGTAAAGGTTTGCACGACGGGGTGGAAGATCGAGGAGGGGAGCTTAGTGTGAGAGCGGTAAACCAAGGTAGGTTTGAGGAAAGGAGTATATAGGGGAACCGATGGCGTCGGTAGTGGAAGGGTCTGTATGAAAAGCTAAACTAAGGGCCAACTCTTTTGGGGCTTATGGTGACTGCCGAAATAAGATGTCCCTACCCAACTTATTCTGATAGCCTAACATAAAATTTTATTCCAGAAGCCTACTAAGTAGGTTGGTTATTGCTCTGAGTATGCACGAGCCGACTAAGATTTGAAAGAGGTTAGTTATTGTTCCAGTTGTTGCAAAGAAGAAGGGCATGCTGGCTTCGTGTGGAAGACAAGGATTTGTTTGTACCCGGTGGAGGTGTTATCTCGGGACGATAGATCCCAACACATTTTTCTCCTCTCTGCCAAGTGCCGATGGATATCTTATCTCGGGACGATAGATCCCAACACGTTTTCTCCTCTCCGCCACGTGTTTCTCTCCCCTTCGCATTTTCCCTCTTGCCTCACGCCTTCTTCCCTTTCCTTTTCCCCTTGGCACCAGTAAAAAGGAACGGGTGAATCACCCCCTCGGTCGCCCCTTCTCTCATGGTTATTGGGTTTAATTACTGCCTTGTTATCACATTAGTATCTCAATGGTACCTATCATCCTTATCACACTAGTATCACAGTGTTGTCATATTTATCATCTCGATGTTACCTTATCTCATCGCCATACGGTCCAAAGTTCTTCAACTCCAGCGCCCGTTGGCACCTGCTTCGCATGTTACACTGCGCACCATGTGTCGAGATTCTTAACCAGGGAATAGACTTCATCCAGAATTCTGTGCTATCGGTGGCATCATTAGTCGAGCAACCATTAGACGCAAGTCGAAGCGGGTTGAACGATGACATGACCAAAATTTTTACTTGACAATTGTGGGTTTCAAAATAAAATAATATCCAATGGTCTTCAAATCAATACTTGAGCGTACTCTACCAATAGCAATGCAATGCAATGTGATAATAGTAACCACTACCAGGACGATGAGATCTACTGTACTACTCCTACATTGGTTCTCTTGTATCCTTTGCAATCTCTGCACGTGCCTTTTGGACAAAGTTTTCACACTCACACGCTGTCACGCAGTAGGGGTGTTGGGGCATGTACAATGGAGGCATCACCTTGATGCTGCTTCAGCCTTTCCACGTAGATAAATGTGCTAGAGCATCAGCGTGAGGTCATAACCACCCAACGCATGGCTGCCTCATTAGGCCTGCACTTTATCTCTCGTCCTCCAGCAATTACTCAACTCCCCAGCGATGGCTGAAGGTCACACACTATACATAGTTCATGCATGTCTACACTTTTCCTTCTTTCTCTCCCTTTTTTCCTCTTTTGTTAGGGAGGAGCCGGACTCCTCTGCAGGAACCCGCTTGCCTCTGCAAGCTACACCATACATCATTTTGGACCATCCGAGCCGACGTGGACAGCTGGGGCGGCCATGCCCTTAGGGGTGTCGTCGTCTCCCAAACAACACTTCCCTTTCACGCCATGGCCCCCCATCTTTAAAAAAACCTCCACTCCACTCCCGAGAGAGGAAATTCCCTTACCCTCTTCCTACTGTACTCACCCACACCACCGCCCACCCCACTCTTCTGGTCTTCCTCGCTGTCTTCTTCCCCAGCCCTCCAGTTCGAAAATTCCCTCCCTCGCGCCCAAACTCCAAACCCTAGCCGGTCCGGCCCAGCCCCCCTCCGCCCCGCCGGCTCCCCGCGCGGAACATGCGGGATCTGGGCCCATGGCGACCGGCCCCGATCTGACCTCCCCCTCCGCCGCCGACGCCGCCGCCGCGTCGTCGGCGGCCAAGAAGGACCGCCACATCGTCAGTTGGAGCGCCGAGGTGCGTAACTGTTTCGCTCTTCTCTCCGTCTCGCGGTTGCGGATTTCTTTTGCGCTCTTTTGCGCTTTCCTAATTTTGGGATTTCCGCTGGCTTGCCTTGGATTTGGGACTTCGCTTCTGTAGCAATTGTTTGTTCCCCTTTTTGATTCGGCGAAAAAATTGAGAGGCGATTTTGGGCGTGTTTGGGGTATAATCCGCTTGTTGTCACAGTTCTATTGTTGATTCTTGGACTTCATAGCCTAATTCCCCCTTTCCCCATGCTAACCGTGACAAATTGCTCCTTCCAACATGTTACTTTATTTTTCTGATGAATACTCTTAGATTGCCTTCGAGTTCATCCTTGGAGTGCCTCTGCGATTCTGCTCGATGGTTAAATTGCTTTCTGATGCTTCCAACTTCTTCCCTGTAGGAGGATGACGTGCTTCGTGCTCAGATTGCGCACCATGGAACTGACAAGTATGGACAACTCCTGTTTGTTACCTGTCCTCACTTGCAGTAAGCTTTCTCAAATTAACCACGGCGTTTTTCTTTTGTAGTTGGACAGTCATAGCCACACAATTCAAGGATAAGACTGCCAGACAGTGCAGGAGGAGGTGTGTACCTCCCTCTTCCGATAAACGGGGATCTTTTGTGGTAAAATTTCTGGTGTTATAGCATTTGTTCAGTTCTATTGTTTATACCTTTTTTTTGGCTTGATTGTCGCTGCAGATGGTACAATTATTTGAATACAGAGTGCAAGAAAGGCGGGTGGTCTCGTGAAGAGGATATGCTTTTATGTGAGGTGAGAACTTGGTGTGTTTCTAGCATTTTAATTACTATAGGCGGCTAGGCGCAGGCAGTGAGTCTGCTTGACATTAAGCACTGTGGCATCAAATAGTTATTTTGTAAGGGCCAAATTTCATCTCTGGGAGAAGGACAGTATGCTTCGTGTCATGGTCCTCAATCTCATATGACATGAAGAAGAGCGCTGCTATACGTACGATCAAACTTCATACGATTTTGCGTACGAGCAGACTGTTCTGGTACAGTGGGCCCGAACGTTGGGAACGAACCTGTGTCTTGTCGTACAAAATCGTATGGGGAAAATATCGTACGCAAGGCAGTTTCGCATGAAGAAAGGGGTTGGAGATAGAAATCGAGTTCAGGGCATGGACTAGGAAGGACAAATAATTATCACCTTGTAGCTTAACTTGTGTGCAGATTGGATCCTATCCTTGATTGCGTTCCTTTGGGAAAATGATGGATTTGTTTTATGAACTGTAGGACGTATGATTGCTATGTTCTTTTGTAGATGAGAAACTGCGTGAAGGGACCATGCATTGCTTAAAGTCTCATAATACCATTATCATTCTTTGATTAGACTGCAATTTGTGTTATGATACATTTGCAATGTTGCAAAAAGAAATTAGAAACCACCTGATGTACATTGTGCTGGTGTCTTCATAACTATCAGTTATTGCTGTAGAACTCCTGCAACACCAAATGATAATCTTGGACTTGTCATGCAGGCTCAAAAGCTTCTTGGTAACAAATGGACTGAAATAGCAAAGGTTGTCTCAGGCAGGTGAGTTTCTTGCATTTGGTGCTGTTTGCTGTAAGGTGAAAAGGATATTAGATACTTCCTCTCTACCGGTTTATAAGGCCTGCGCGTATCCCTAGATCATCCATTTTATCAATGAAATATGAGTTATATGCCACAAAGAGTATACCATTGAAGTCATATTCGAAAGAAGTTTCTAACAGTATACCGTTTGTGATATGTTTGTCAAATTGGCGATCTAGGGATACACGCAGACCTTACCGACCGGGAGGGAGTATGTGAAACAAGATATCTGACATGTGAATGTTTGGTTTGCCTACTACAGAACTGATAATGCAGTGAAGAATCGATTTTCTACGTTATGCAAAAGGCGGGCTAAGGATGATGAACTATTGGAGGAAAATGGCACAGTATGCTCCAATGCAAGTGCAAAGAGGGTACTGACACAATCTGGTGGTGTCACATGTGCTGCACCTGGCTCCTCACCACCTATTAAGAACATGAGGTACACACAGTACCAGCAGAAGCTGTTGGTTAATTATGTGAATGAACTTACACACTTTAACCTGTTCTTTCTGCAACCAGCTCTTGCAAATCCGATTTCAAGGAGAACTTAGCACCAAATATGAGGTCATTTGGACAGCAAAAGAGCATACGACAGGATTCTCGGCAACCCCTTGCTAGCATTTGTCCAGACAATCAGAGTGTGAATATTGTAAAAACCCAAAGTCTTGTCACTAAAACCTCAACAAAGCAATTACATGGCGAAGAACAGAGCTGTGAGCCTATTATCCCAGATTCTGAATGTTTAACTTGATTCATGTGTTGTGTCAATGTTTGAACCTGCTCCATGTGCATAATTTCAGGTGTGAAGCATGACGGTAATTTTTTGAAAAGGAATGATCCAAAACTTGCTACTTTACTTCAGCAAGCTGACTTGCTTTCTTCCCTAGCAACAAAAGTAAATACTGAAAATACAAGCCAAAGCATGGATGAAGCCTGGCAGGTATGGCATCGCCAATTTGATAGTCTGAAGTAGATTTGTAGTTTTACATTTTAAAATAACTGTTTTATGCTTGACCTTTCAGAAACTACAGCATCATTTGGTTAAGAAAGATGATAATGACATGTCAGAGAGCAGTATGTCTGGAACAGCTTCACTCCTAGATGATCTCGACGATTTAATTGTTGATCCCTATGAGAATGAAGAAGAAAATGAACAGAAGTCCAGGTATATAATGAATAATATCTCATCCTTTTGGTTACTGTTCTATGGCCTCAGCTATTGATCCACCACCATTCTGATGAACAGAGAGCAGAACGGAGCAACATCACAAGTGGCTCCTGATCAAATAATGGATAATTGCCCAGTAGATCAAATCGCAGAAGAAAGTAGCCTTTGTGGAAACACACTATCTAGTACTATGGAACCTTGCCCAGGTAACCTATGCTCTTAATCTGAATTTAGTTACATGCCTTTCCATCCACATCGAAGAAGATTAATTGAAATTTGAAGCTAAATCAGTTGCAGAAATTCTAGCTCATATAAACTTGGGTGAGGCTGCCGAAGATATGGGGCTTCATTTCATGGAATACAGTTCTCCTACTCATGCAGCTCAAGCTCAGCAAGCTAAAGCAGATGCAGAAATACCAGCGTCTGTAGACTTGAGTGAGTCTGCCGAAGGTAGCTGGTCTCAGTTTATGGAATACACATCTCCCGCCCATACAGTTTTGCATGCTAACAGTTCTCCTGCTCATACAGTTCAAGCTCAGCAGGCTAAAGCAGATGCAGAAATACCAGTGTCCGTAGACTTGAGTGAGGCTGCCGAAGGTAGCTGGTCTCAGTTTATGGAATACACGTCTCCTGCTCATACAGTTTTGCATGCCGAAGGAGATGCAGAAACACCAGCATCTGTAAAGTTGAGTGAGGCTGCTGAAGGTAGCCTGCCTCAGTGTATGGAACATATGTCTCCTGTTCATACACTTCTGCGAGCTAAAACAGATTCTGAAATACCAGCATCCGCAAACTCGAATGAGGCTGCAGAAGGTAGCTGGTCTCAGTTTATGGAATACATGTCTCCTGCTCATATAGTTTTACATGCTAAAGCAGATGCAGAAACACCAGCATCCGTAAATTTGGGTGAGGCTGCCGAAGGTAGCCTGCCTCAATGTATGGAACCCATGTCTCCTGCTCATACACTTCTGCGAGCTAAAACAGATTATGAAATACCAGCATCAGCAAACTTGAGTGAGGCTGCCAAAGATGACAGTCTTCAGTGTACAGAATACACCTCTCCTGCTCGTGCAGACTTGCAAGCTAACGCAGATGCAGAAATATCAGAGGATTTCAGTGAGGTTGCCCAAGATAGCAGGCTTCAATGTGCTAGATTTACTTCCCCTGCTCGCACTGCTATCAAAGGTAAAGCAGTTGCGAAGAAAGGAACTTCAGAGAACTGCAGCGACGTGCCCGAAGATAGCAGCACCCAGCCATGCATGGAATTCACCTCTCCTGCTCACACAGTTCCAACTTTCCATCCATTCACAGATAACGTGCCAACTCCAAAAATTACTGCCAGTGTAAGCTTTTGACTTATGTAGCCTGTCATTGTTAGTCTTATTTCACACACAATAACATACCTGAATCAAACATTGGTATTTACACATGTATTTGTTGAGCTTTCCAGGAGAGGAATTTTTTGCTGTCTGTGCTTGAGTTGGCCTCACCTGGATCGAAGCCAGAAACTTCTCAGCAGCCTTCTTGCAAAAGGGCTCTTCTTAATAGCCTTTGAAGGGGTATATATATGTTCGATGCAAATACATTTTGCATTCTTCGGTTCTCACCGTATCCAGCTCCAAGCCCGCCATGCTCCTCAGCATGTATACCCTGGCTCCCCTAGATCTAATTTTAACTAGGGTAGTTCTCCCTACTCCTATTTGCATCAAAGTGTGCCTAGCTCATGTCATAGTTCAGCTGTTTGTATGAGGTCTCAATAGTTTGGTTTGTTGTCGTTGGTTGTACATATCGCATTGGCGGTGTTGTAGTAGCATACAAAATTTGGAAAAAAGGGGGGTGATGTACCCTGAGAGTTACAGCTTGTATTCAAAATATAGAATAAGGTATTCTTTGTGTAATTAACCCTTTGTAACTTCTATCCGGGCGCGGAATATATTGGCTTGGTTTGTGTTGTGACGTGACGACTTTCTTGTTGTTGAACATGTGGTTGAATGAAACAATATATATTTCTTCATCAGATTGGATACTTAATAATACCATCAATGCCCAGTTTCTTGTCCATTTTACGTACTCATCTTTGCATGAGTTGAAAGACTTGATGCTGTTCTGAACTGTTGGCTATCTGTCCTGGTTCTAGAAAGAGGGATTTGTCTTTCAAGGACATTTGGAGTGCCTTGGATTTCACAGAAAATTCATATGTGAAAATCCTCACTGTTTCAGAGCCTCGTAGGAGTGTTTGGTTTTTATAAAGAGAAAAATTCACTACAGAGCATATAACTTGCGCTGGTGGCCACTTCAGTCCCTGTGGTTAGAAATATCCGAAATATAGTCACTAAACTTGCTCTAGAGGGTCATCTATGTTCCATAATACGGTTTTGTCTATGTATCCGCTGATTTGGCATTGGTCAAGTGGTACACAGTGGCATTGACTGGACACGTCACCGAAACAGCGTATTTACCGGAGGGGTTTTCTGCAAATTTGCCACAAATTAAAAAATCGCCGTAGGAGGTGGACCTGGCCGGCAACAACCTCAACGGCTCTATCCCCGCCAAGTTGGGTTCGCTTCACGACCTTAGGACGCTCGACCTCTCGGGCAACGCGCTCGCCGGAGTGATCTCGGAGAGCCTGGCAAACCTCACCGCGACGCTCTAGTCCTTCAACGTCTCGTACAACAACCTTTTCGGCGCGGTGCCGGCCTCGCTCGCCCAGAAGTTTGGGCCCGCCTCCTTCACCGGTAAAATAATGCTCTGCGGCTACTCTGCTTCTTCGGCGCCCTGTCCCGTGTCCCCGTCCCCGGCGCCGGCGTCAACCTCGCAGGGGGAACCGAGCGCCACGGCCTCCGCAAGTTCAGCACCAAGGAACTCGCATTGGTCATTGCCGGGATCGTGATCGGTGTCCTCATCTTGCTGTCGCTCTGCTGCCTTCTGCTCTGTTTATTGACAAGGAAGAAGAAGTCCGGCACTAGCACCGGAGCACGGAGGGGCAAGCATTTCTCAAGCAAGGACGCCGCCGGCGCCGGCGCCGCTGCAGCTGCCGGGCGAGGCGAGAAGCCGGGGGCGTCCGAGGCGGAATTCGACGGCGAGGTGGGTGGCAAGCTGGTGCACTTTGACGGGCCGCTAGCGTTCACGGCCGACGACCTGCTGTGCGCCACCGCGGAGATCATGGGGAAGAGCACATACGTCATGATACGTCTCCAACGTATCTACTTTTCCAAACACTTCTGCCCTTGTTTTGGACTCTAACTTGCTTGATTTGAATGGAACTAACCCGGACTGACGCTGTTTTCAGCAGAATTGCCATGGTGTTATTTTTGTGCAGAAATAAAAGTTCTCGGAATGACCTAAAACTTCACGGAGTTATGTTTTGGAATTAATAAAAAATATTGGAAAAAGAATCAACAGAGGGGGACCCACACCCTGTCCATGAGGGTGCAGGGCGCACCCATCCCCCTGGGGCGCGCCCCCTGCCTCGTGGGTCCCCTGGACCTCCACCGACCTCAACTCCAACTCTATATATTCACGTTCGGGGAGAAAAAAAATCAGAGAGAAGGATTCATCGCGTTTTACGATACGGAGCCGCCGCCAAGCCCTAATCTTCCTCGGGAGGGCTGATCTGGAGTCCGTTCGGGGCTCCGGAGAGGGGAATCCATCGCCATCATCATCATCAACCATCCTCCATCCTCCATCACCAATTTCATGATGCTCACCGCCGTGCCCAAGTAATTCCATCGTAGGCTTGCTGGACGGTGATGGGTTGGATGAGATTTACCATGTAATCGAGTTAGTTTTGTTAGGGTTTGATCCCTAATATCCATTATGTTCTAAGAGATGTTGCTATGACTTTGCCATGCTTAATGCTTGTCACTAGGGCCCGAGTGCCATGATTTTAGATCTGAACCTATTATGTTTTCATGAATATATGTGAGTTCTTGATCCTATCTTGCAAGTTATAATCACCTACTACGTGTTATGATCCGGCAAACCCCAGAGTGACAATAGTCGGGACACTTTTCGGTGATGACCGTAGTTTGAGGAGTTCATGTATTCACTAAGTGCTAATGCTTTGGTCCGGTACTCTATTAAAAGGAGGCCTTAATATCCCTTAGTTTCCAATAGGACCCTGCTGCCACGGGAGGGTAGGACAAAAGATGTTATGCAAGTTCTTTTCCATAAGCACGTATGACTATATTCGGAATACATGCCTACATTACATTGATGAACTAGAGCTAGTTCCGCGTCACCCTATGTTATAACTGTTGCATGATGAATTACATCCGACATAATTATCCATCATTGATCCATTGCCTACGAGCTTGTTTCATATTGATCCTTGCTTAGTTACTTCTCCATTGATGTTACGATTGCTAAAAAAACTGTTTTTGTTACTTTTGCCACCGTTACCGTTACTTCCATACTACTTTGCTACTAAATACTTTGCTGCAGATATTAAGTCTTTCAGGTGTGATTGAATTGACAACTCGGCTGCTAATACTTGAGAATATTCTTTGGCCCCCCTTGTGTCGAATCAATAAGTTTGGGTTGAATACTCTACCCTCGAAAACTGTTGCGATCCCCTATACTTGTGGGTTATCAAGACCTTTTTCTGGCGCCGTTGCCGAGGAGCATAGCTCTATTCTTTGAGTCACTTGGGATTTATATCTTGTAAGGGCATATTTAGCCCTAGTGTTTTGGTGATTGATGACAATGTTTTGCGGACTATTCGTGTGCCTTGAGTATTTCAGTCGCTTCGTCACTAGGCACAAGACGGTTTGGTACCCCTCGAAGACTATTGAATACGGCGGTGTTCTACGTCTCTTTTTTGTGGATTAGAGTCATAAGATAGCCGTACTATTAAGAGGGGGTCCGCGTTGGAAAGGTTAGGGTGGAATCATCACGTACACGTTTACTCCCTTTACACCGCCTTTCCCTTTGCGCTTTGGAGCATCCTCCATTTTGTTCATATTTTGCAAAGAGAAGGATTCCTAGTGTTCGTGTTCGGAGGCATGCGGTAGTACCGCACGCCTTTGCGGTAGTACCGTAGGTGGACACGGTAGTACTGCTCCTAAGGAGCTGTAGTACCGTGGCCTCGGACCAGACTCAGCCGCTCGTGCGGCTGTACGGGCGGATGCAATTTTTTACATCCGCGCCCTACGCGGTAGTACCGCCCCATGCGCGCGGTAGTACCGTGAGTCCTGGTTCAGCACAGCAACACGAGCGAAAGTAGGGGCGGATGTAATTTTTTACATCCGCTCCCTGCGCGGTAGTACCGCATGCCAGGCGGTAGTACCGTGTCAGATTTTTGCACTGTTTGATTTTCAGCGGAAGTAGGAACGGATGTATTTTTATTCATCCGTGCCCTTCCCAGGCTAGTTCACTCTAGCCTTGCGGTAGTACCGCAAGGGGGAGCGGTAGTACCGCGTCAACGATAGTACCGCCCTCAGCCTTTGCGGGCCAGGCCTGGACTAGCTCATGCCGTAGCAGCGGTAGTACCGCGGTCCTCCGCGGTAGTACCGTGAGCCCCTGCGGTAGTACCGCTTGTCTAGAGCGGTAGTACCGCAGGTTGCGGGCTAAGTAAGTAGATAACGGTTGGATTTGTCTCTCCACTATATAAGGGGTGTCTTCTTCCTCTAGTTGACCACCTCTTCCACCCCAAAGCTCCATTGTTGCTCCAAGCTCCATTTTCGCCCGATCTCTCTCCCTAGCCAATCAAACTTGTTGATTTGCTCGGGATTGGTTGAGAAGGCCCCGATCTACACTTCCACCAAGAAAAATTTGATTCACCCCACTAATCCCTAGCGGATCTTGTTACTCTTGGGTGTTTGAGCACCCTAGACCGTTGAGGTCACCTCCATAGTCCATTGTGGTGAAGCTTCATGGTGTCGTTGGGAGCATCCAATTAAGCTGTGGAGATTTCCCCAACCTTGTTTGTAAAGGTTCGTTTGCCGCCTTCAAGGGCACCAATAGTGGAATCACATCATCTCGCATTGTGTGAGGGCGTGAGGAGAATACGGTGGCACTAGTGGCTTCTTGGGGAGCATTGTGCCTCCACACCGCTCTAACAGAGACGTACTTCCCCTCAAAAGGAAGGAACTTCGGTAACACATCCTGGTCTTCACCGGCTCCACTCCTGGTTATCTCGTGCCTTTACTCTTGCAAGCTTACTTGTGTTATATCCCTTGCTTGCTTGTGTGCTTGTTGTTGTTGCATCATATAGGTTGCTCACCTAGTTGGATATCCAGACAACCTACTTTGATGCAAAGTTTAATTTGGTAAAGAAAAGCTAAAAATTGTTAGTTGCCTATTCACCCCCCCTCTAGTCAACTATATCGATCGTTTCAATTGGTATCAGAGCCTATCAGAGGCTCGTCTCTTTATTAAGGACTTTGCCGTCCGAAGAGTATGGTTGACACCGTAGACGGTAGGGAGGAGCACTCTGGTGTGAATCCGAGCTCATCTACGGGTGATGGGGGAACCACGGTTTCTCGTGAGCAATTCAATGTGGCTTTGGACACATTGAAAACTTCCATGACAACCGAGGTTGAAAGCATGTTTAAT